GGAGTAATTGGCTCCGGAATCAAATAGTATATTTGCAGGCAAACCATTTACAAGAAAGGTACCTGAAGCGACGTCTGCTGCCTCCTTCGCAGCCTCGAGCGTCATCTGAAAGGCTCTCGCCTTTGGCTTTGGTGGTATGTTGGGCCTTCCCGCATCTTTCTTCTTTGGGCAATCCTTAGCAATATGCCCTTCTTCACGACACTCGTAGCACACCTTCTTGTTGGTGGTGCACTCATTGGCATAGTGCCCTGTTTTCCCACACTTGTAGCAGGTTACTTCATCGCCACATTTTCCCGAGTGCTTCTTCTTGCACTTCTCGCACCATTTAAATTCGTTTCCTCCCCCGAATTTTTTTGAACCGAACTTGTTCTTCTTTTTGTTGGGTTTAGCAGACCCTTCAAATTTCCTCTTCTCGCCAACCTCGATTTTGCTGGCAGCTCTTCCCTTAATCATGTCCTCCACAGACTTGGCAGCCCAGATAGCTGCCTCCAAAGTAGGTGCCTGACGTACTGGCACCGCGTACTCCCATGGGGAGTCCCTTTGCGTACTTATCAATTTTCGTCAGCTCATCCGGAACAAGACGCAAGGCAAACTCCATTATTTCTGTGAAGTTGTTCGTGTATTCATCGATTGACATGCTTCCCTTCTTCAGGGTTAGAAACTGGTTCTCTAACTCTAGCAGGTTTTGAGCCGAGCAGTATTTTCTTTTTAATTGCACCAGAAATTCTGCCCATGTCAGTTGCAGGGGCTTGTTGGGGGTTAAAGTCTTCCCCAAGGTATTCCACCAATGTACAGCGCCTCCTCGAAACTGACGTACTGCAAATGTGGTTTGTAGCTTTCCTCTGCAACCGCACGTCATGAAAGCTAACTCCATCTCCGAGATCCAATCCATGACCCCGATTGGATCTTCTTTTCCCGTGAAAGTCGATGGCTTGCAAGTAAGAAAATCCTTGTACTTGCATCCATTCCTCTCGACTTCATCACCTTGGTTGTTTTGTTGAACTAGTGGTGGGTTGGCTTGACCAACGGTTCCACTGTAGTCTCCTTCCTCAGTCTGCCCTTCGTTCAACTCGGGCTGTTCGATTTGAATAGTCGCTTCCTCTCGATTTTGCTGGAGCAAACGCCTGGTTTCCTCCATTTGACGATCCAACATTGCCTGGATCATCGCTTGCACTCCGGCCATCGTTATTGGTCCGGCAGCGGCTTCCACAACTGGTATTTGCTCGATCACGGGGGTTGGTGTCCGTTCCCATTTGCGTTTACGTTTCCGCTACGGGTCCTTACCATCTTGATCTATACACCGAATAAGGTGAATTCAGATCTTTATTTAGGAGAGACGTTTTAAATCGTCCTTATCACTCCGAAACGTTTACATGCTAGTTCTAATAGCGTAGTCGTACGTTTAGAATCCTAAACACATAAGGTTTCCAGATCCGGTCGGCAACAGACCATAGATCCGAACAAAATAACAGCATATCATGCATAAAGCATTTAGCACATAAAAGCATTTTAGGCACAATTCCTAAAATAAGCTAGTGCTCACACCTCACAATCAACGCTTAGCATTCTAAGTTTAAGTCTAGAAATCCTACAAATTCCTAGTTCGCTTAAACTAATGCTCTGATACCAACTGTGACATCCCCAAAATCACGGCCAGAAAAGACCGGTTTTGTTTATACTTTATTTCAAAATCAGAGTTATCTTTTAATAAAAGGGTTGCGGAATTTGTCCCAAAACAATAATATGATAAAGATTTATCAAAAGCATTTCCATAGAAATGTATTTCATTAAAAGACTCGGGATGTCATGTTCGTACAGATCAAAAGTATAAACAGTACAATATAAGCCTTACTACATTATTTAATATCTACAGGCCTATATCCGTAATCCCTCGTCCAAAACATCACACCTATGCTCATGCGCCACTACCTGTAATACATAAAACTGAGTGGGTCAGGCTTGGGAGCCTGGTGAGCACATAGGGTTTTCAACCCACAATAAATAAGTTTATTAATTTCATCAATCAACAATAACCCGATTACCCGTTCCCGTTATCCTCACTTTACGTCCCTAAACACCTATCATAAGGGACCTAGCCTAAGGATCATCATCGGGATGGACACTACTGCTAAGGGGATTCCTCAGCAATAAATATCCTAATAGGCAACCATGTGGGGGATGGAGTACATCTGGTGAGCACACAGTTCAAATAAACACACAGTTCAAATAAACACCTACAGGTTGCGAGCCTGCTAGTGTTCCACTGGACTGTCTAGAATAGTCCGTGGTCGTCATCTATACTCCGCTAGATGACTGGATCATCAATAACATCTATAACGAGGCCTCTCATTATTTTATTTTGTCACACAGCAACTATTACATCTACCCATGTTTTACCCAACACATTTTGTAGATATAAAATACATATACAGTTTAAATCTTTGAAAACATGTATAAAACGTTCATCCAGCATAGATAGCAAGTATTCAGATAATATGCACACATAGCACGTAATTTATATTAAATACTTCATATCTATGTGTAAGTTGAAAGTAAATATGCACTCACCTGATTAGGTGGTGACTCAGCACTCGGACAGTGCTTCGATACTCTCAAAATGATATTCCTTCGATAAAACCTAGTATCGATACCACTAGGGTTTAGTCTAATGATAACCGTGACAAATTAATTGTCTGACTATTATTATTATTATTATATAAGCGTTAATAACACTTAATATAACTCATAATAATAGCCCAAATAATTATTTTAATGACCTAATAACATTCCTATATTAAAACATAAGCTAAACTAAAGATAGGATAGGTACAACTCACTTACAGTGGGTTTTTCTCGAAACCGGGATTCACTGGAGCAGCGTTCCCGAGCCGAAAGGCTCTTTTCTCGGGACTCTGGGAGCCTCGGGGCTTCCTTCGGGTGCTAGGGGGTTTACCTAGGCTTTTAGGGGGGTTAGGGAGCTTAGAGAGAGAGTTTAGAGAGAGAAATAAGAGGGGTGAGGGGTGAGGAAATGAGGGAACCCGCACCTCTATTTATAGGGGAGGATTCTGATGGACTCGTCGAGTCTGAGTCATGACTCGTCGAGTTGGTCCATGTGGTGGCCTTCTGGTGGTGCCACGTGTCCAATTCTGGTGGTGCCACGTCACCCCTATCGCGTGTCAGCCCTCAAACTTAGAAAAATCATAACTTTCGCATACGAGCTCCGTTTTCGACGTTCTTTATATCCACGCGTAGGTAAAATCAAGATCTACAACTTTTGTTTAGACTCTGTTGGCTGATTCTTGACCGATCTCAAATTTAACAGTAGGAGGCGTTTAGACTGTTAAATGACCGCGAAGAGTTCATAACTCCTTCATACGGAATCCGTTTTCGTCTGTCTTTTTACCGTTGAGTTCCTATGAATGAGATCTTCAACTCTCATTTAGGTTGCGTAAGCCAAAAACCGCTCGAACTAAAATTCGAGTTTCGGGCCGTGCACTGCTAAGCCGAATCTTAGAAAAATCATAACTTCTTCATACGAAGTCAGATTTGGGCGTTCTTTTTATCGATGTTCTTAGTTTAACATATTCTACGACTTTTGTTTAGATTTATAAGGCTAAAAAGTCTTCTATCATAAATTTACTATTTACGTATCCGGGTGCCGTGCCGGTTTTGCCGTAAAACTTCGGCGGGTCATAACTTCTTCGTTATAGCTCGGATTTCGGCATTCTTTATATCTACGGAAACCTGGAGACATATTCTACAACTTTGTGTAGAGATATCGGGATTATCTCACACTTTAATTTTGACGCTCATTTTTATTCTTTATTAATTATACATTTATAATTAAATAATAAACACATAAACACACATAATTCACATAATACTCAAATATTTCATATTTATTACTTCAAAAAGAGTTACAATAGTTGACCTAGACTATTACATTGACAAAAATGCTTAGCCCTGAAACCCGGGCGTTACAGATCGTACGAAGGGTTAAAAGGCAAAAGAGTGTATGGCCAAAATACACACTGTGTGTGTGCGGCCATGTGTGCGGCTGGAGTGTGCTGCCAGCACAAGTGTGCGGCCATGTGTGCGGCCAGCACACGTGTGCGGCCGTGTGTGCTGCCAGAAAACATGGTGTTCTTGGTGAGAGAGATTACCTTTCTAGATGATACTTGAGAGGATTTTTGAGTCCTAGCTTTGCAAGAGTGTAGGAAATGATCAAGGATATAATATATAAGAGTGTGTGTGCGGCTGGAGTGTGTGCGGTTGGCCTGTGTGCGGCTGGCTGGCTGCACACACTAGTGTGCGGCCACACACACCAGTTTTGGTGTGTTTGTTCCGTTTTTCCAATGCTACAACCAAACTAACCCATCCTACGACACGTATCTCAATTATACTAAGCTTTAAGCACTCCTTTAGACTCAAAACTTCATTATAAAATAGCAAAACGAAGCTATATTTGATATAAAAGAAGAATGTAAGTTAGAAATTTCGGGTTGTAAATGATGCAGAAATTTTTGGGTTGTCACAGATTATCCCCCAAGATCATTTGTCTTCTTCCAACTTCCTTAAAAAAAATTATTGGGAACACTTAGCAATCTTTTTTTTTCTCCCGGTTTCTTTCTACTGTCTTTCATTTCACTTCTTAAGTGGCACTCGAGAACAACGTGTTAGGAAATGGTTAATCCTCATTATCTCTCAATTTAGATTTTTTTTAATAAATATTAAGAAATAGTATATTGTATTGTAAAAGTACTAAAACATAAAAAGAAAATAATAGAAGAAATATGTTACAGTGAGTTTGTATCTCGTGGTGGAGGCCACTGCATCAGACGTTGTCGTTCCACCTCCCCGTGTGCCACCTCACACCACTGCCACGACCGATCTTACCTTGTTTATAGCTAAATTGGGCCTTAGGCCTCAATTCTAAAGGCCCATTTAATCCAAGATATTTCAGCAAATCTCGATTCTTCCTTCTCTTTTTGTAGTTACGCATGCCACAAATATCATCAGCCAAAATTCAAAGCTTCAATTCTTACAAGTGAGCGAGTGTTCTTCTTTATCAATTCTCGATTTTTGAAAACGGAGTCTAAAAAATACCTTATGCTCTTCGCTTCTTATCTTCCTTCTCCATTCTCTTATTAATTGTCCATTCTCTGAAAAATACCTTCGACTTCTCAGTCTGATTCTTTCTCTATCCTCTAATTCTCGATTGTTGATTATCCAAACTTCAAAAGACTCAAAACTTTAAAGTTGTTAAGAAGACAAGAACTGAAACGGTATGTTCAGTGTTTCTATTTTCTAGTTTTGAGTAATTGAGTTTTCCACTATCTGATTATCTATTTAGGTAAATAGTCGATTTTAAGGTTATTTTTTATAAAAATTATCCATTGTGCATTGATTACAAAATATAGAATCGGGGGTTGGAACGGATTTAAGTTTTCCATTATCTTCTATTTTAAAGGTTGTCATTGTGAAGAACTCAATGTGAGTTACTTCCAGTTTACTGCTTCTTTCTATCTGTTATTAGTATATAAATACAAACTCTATTAATGTTCTGGAAATTAAAATAAAAGTTAAAGCCATAAATTTGTGTGCGAATGAAATTGAAGGCTAAGGGGGCAGAATAGTAGAATAGGATTTGTCTCCCCAACGTGTGCAAGGGCTTCAATTTCACTTATTTTGTTTGTATAGATAAATATTATTATCTAAACTGAAATTTGTATATATAATACAAGGTATATATGTTAAGGTTTTGATTTGTTAGTGTGACAAGAAAAACAAAAAGGTTATTTCATTATGTTTATCAAAGTTACTACATGCATATTACCTGTAACGAATGTATATAAACACAAGATAAAGTTTATAGACTAAAACAGTAAGTGCCTATAACGCTAGGGACCAAATTTGTAATTACTCTCTTTGCGTTTTAGTGAGCGCAAACACACAATCACCGTCGTTCCAATCGGAGGAAAAATGCCGCGCGACAAACACCAGCCACCGGTGGTTCGCGTCTATACAGTTTGCGACGAATCCAAGTTCGTATTCAAATTCAATTACTCGATTCTTCTAAATATAAGTTTAATTTGTTGTATCTGATTATGTGAGCCCTAAAACAACTCAAATTCGGATTTGTGATTTTGATATAGGTATTTAATCGTGAGGAATGTTCCGAAATTAGGTTGTGGTGATGAATTACGGAAATTGTTCGAAGGATATGGTGAAATTGATGAGTAAGTTATCTTTTTCCCCTTTTCAAAAATGCCTTCAACCATGATGTTAATTGTTAGTTTTTTTTATGGATTCAATTCGACTTCTTGTTTCTCTTTTGTAGATTCATACCATTGGACGATGAAGATTGCGAGCCATTTACTGATGTTTACTGGATTAAGTTTCATCAGGTCAACAATTCTAGGTGCCTCAAACAATTTGACTTCTTATGAAATCGATAATTCATCTATGGAACATTAGGATCCTTGATCTTTATGTAGATTTGCGAAAAGGAAGTTGGATGAATCAGTTTTTATTGGAAATCGGATTCAAGTTTCATATGCACCAAAGTATGAGAGCCTTAGTGACACAAAAGAGAAGTTGGAAGGTAGAAGAAAAGAAGTTGTAGCTAGACTTAATCGTAAGTGCTGTATAATATCATTTTATATTTTTAAAGAATTTGTTTTCTTGATAGATTAAATACCTTTTTGTTGTTTTTTTCAGCTAAATTCATATCACAGCCATTAAATATCCAACACAGGTTTGAAATTTGAATCTAGTTTTTATTGTTTTATCCTATTTCTATTGGCAAATCTTGATTATATGTTCTTGTTCTAGGGACCCACATACTGTTCACAGTCAAACTCTTCCGTCAACAGTTTCGTCTAATCAGGTTCAAACATTTTTATATTATTTCATTTTCATTTTTATTTTTATTTTATCAGTTAACAAATACTTACAAAAAAAAGTGGGAAATTTTGTCGTTTATCTTATATACATTTCAAATCCTTTTGACATTTATGTAACTCATTATTTGTAAAATATGATATCAGGATTATTTTCCATTAGAGTCGATGAATCAGACAGTTAGATTGGTCAGGGAAAAGCTTAACAAGGTGAGTCAATAATTACTAATTTTCTCTCCATTTATCAGATGAAGTTTTTTATATTTTTATTTATTTTTCTCTTGTTTAGATTGAATCGGATACAGCCGTGTCTTCTAAAAAACCACGAATTGACAATAGAAGAAGAATCTGATAGCCGTTACCTCTTTTCATTAACTTTTGATGATGAAAATGAGGAGGGTATTTACGTCTTTTTACACATGCATGAGATCGAGAACGAGTCGGTCTCCTACTTTGTTCTACTTTTTTTCGGGTTGGACAAAAAATCGCAAATTTTGTCATGCTGATATAAGCCTCAGTTCTGTCAGATATACAGTACAACCTCTTCTATCATATCTTCTCATGCATAATAGACGATTGTGTATTCTTTTGTGAATATGGTTCAAGGCAACTTTGAATTTCCCTTGAAGGAAAAAAGTTAATTTTGAAAGAAGTGCATTTACCATTTTATCCCTTAATTTGTATGCTTATGAAATTGGGGTTTATTAGTAATGAATTTTGATTATAGACTAATAGCAAGGTCAAATAGCTCTAAGATTTTGGTTAAATGGGATGTGTCAAAGGAAAAGTTGTATGTGATTTGTTATGGTTTCCTTTGTTATATAATCACATTAGAAACAAGACATTCGCTATAAAAGATTGTGGATGATTTGTATTTATATTGATAAATAATATAAAATATACATATGTAAATGCTTCATTACATTTTATTTTTTAAAATAGTTGAATAGTTTTTTTATTAAGTTAAGATCCCGCCTATAATATTCAAAATTTTGTATTAAGTTTCAAAGATAAACAATTCAAATTAACCAACTAAAAACAGTATCTGATAGTAGTTTATCAATATTAGCTTTATGATTTTTTTTTTGAAAAAAAAAATGAAACAGAAATATAAAATGTGACAAAAATATATATAAATAAATAAAAACAAACATTTTTCAAATATTACGAATATCTATAGAGTATAGACTATATTAATCTTTTGAATCGCAAATTGCATAACAAATGGTGATTTTTACTTAAATCCACTTTTTTTTTTTTCTTTTTAAAGTTTAAAATTTATTATTAATTTGTAATAAAAAAAATAAAAAATAGTATCTAGTAATCAAAAAGTGTACATCAAGTTGTTGGAGTCAACAAAGAAAAATATTTAAATTAAGATATGATAAACCTTAAAAGATAATTATTTATCTTAAATTATTTTAGTTAATTAAATGAGTTATTTTAAAAGATATAATAAATATATATGGTTATAACTTTTGTTACTACAACTTCCTTTAATTATCTCATTATTCTCACCATTAGGAGATATTTCGTCATACAAAAAACAAAGCTCTTTTCTAGTTTATCATATCATAAATGCGCATAGAGCTTTCAATTTGAACCAAACAATTTTTTGTTTATCTTTTCTGTAGATTCACTGATGCCATTTCTTCATGGTTTTATTCACAATTTCTTCCTTGCATTTCTTTAGTAATTCATGGGTGGATTAGGAGAAAGAATAAGTTCTTTTTCCCTGTAAATGCCAAATGGATTAAATGATCTAAAGATAAATAATGTTTAAAAATTAAAAAAAAAAAAAAAAAAGATTATACTATATATGGGAAAATGGAAGAAAAAAAAAATGAGAGCGAATTTGTAGTATACGGGTTAGTTTGTTTGGATGAAAGTGAATCATAAAAAGTACAATGAACAACATAAGGAATATGTAATGAATGAAATTAGTTAATATATTTCACCATAATATTTGGTTGGGTCTACAACAACAAAATGTTATCAATATATGATTCGAACTTTATTTTGTATATTATTTTAATTTTAATTATAATTAACAAATTTTTCTTTATAAAAATAAAAATTAAAAGAAAATAATTTTTTTTAAACCCCAAATAAGCTCTAATAAAAATAATATTTGTATAGTTATTTTGAATGTTAAGAGATTAATTTAAATAAAATAATGAAATTTTACCTAAACAAAAAAAAAGTTATATTGCAATGACAAAATAAAATCCATTGCTAAGGAATGTAAAGTAGCAAGATAAAGGAATCTGGTACCTTGAAGAAATGGTCCAACGTAATCATGGAATGAACCATTTTATTTCTTTCCCTATTTTATCATACAAAACAATACCTTAGGACTTAACAGATAAAGTCTTCTCTACCTATCCTATTAAGTTATTTTTCGTACATTATGTAAAAAACATCATATATGGCTTCTCAGCTTTAACAAAAAAAACAAACACCTAAAAGCTTGAGTAAAGAAAATAAGACAACTCGAATTTAAATCTTCATAAATTCAGGAAATCACCTTCATAATTAATCATATAATTAAGAAGGAATACACATGAAATAATAAACAACCATTAAAAGAACATCTAGTTAGCCAAACTATAACCAAATGTTGTTTATCTTACAACACCATCCTCCTTTCTACATTCAATAATGTTGTGGCCCTTGCCCTGATTTAAAATTCATCTCATGATCTTGATTACCACCATACCTCATTTGATCATCTCTAAATTCACCCTTACGAAACGAATTAGGCCTTCCCATAGACGGGTCGGGTCTTCCCATAGACGGGTCGGATCTTCCCATAGACGATTCCTTATATGAATTAGGCCTACCCATCATCGGCTCACCATTAGCCGCCACCTTAGCACTTGAAAACCGCTTATCAAATCCAAACTCAATGTCTCCATCTTTCGTTTGAAACGCGTTACGGTTAGGCTTCATTTCTTTCTCTTTAGGCCCGCGAGCAGCGTGCCCATGCTTAGGTGGCTTGGATTTGTTGTGGCGCTTGTTACACAGGCGCCCAAGAAAACAAGCCACTGCTGACACCACCACTATCACCGCCAGGACGATGAAAACCGCCCCAAATGAACCACCGTCTGACTGGCGGTGTACTGGCGGGGTTGTCTCGGAGACCGGGTACACCAATGGTGTTTGCTCCAGTTGTTGTTGTTCGGACATTTTTCCGATGAAAAGGGAATTTTGTGCAAATGGATGTTCTTTGAGTGTAGGCAAGATTAGATTGAGGGATAGAAGAATGAAAAATGAGAATAAGAAGGTGGGATATGGTGTTTGATGGGTGGTGGGGTGGGATTTATGTTTTGAATTCAAAAGAAGAGGATTGCTTTAATAAAGAGACAGCTAAGTAAAGAAAAATATTCTGAGTTCTTTTGCTGCCTAATAGGTGAGTGGTGGTGGTGTCTAATTTGTTCTTTATTTGCTTTGTTAAGAGAGAAAGCAGATTTTTGGCTCCTTTGAACATTATCTATCTCATTACTCTATTCTAGGTGCCTATTATTCTTAGTACGATTCAATTATTGTGTCTATAAACTTATGTTTCGTTATTTTCACATTGAATGCATGTAAATAGTGTTATGTGTGGTAAATTATTCATCTATAAACATAGATTTATAAACATATGTTATTTATTTTTGTATTAAGTGTATCAAGTAATATTGTTTCATGTCTCCTAACATCGTGACAAATTGGGCGACCAGTCAAAATGACTAATAAAAAATATGTTTTATAAATGATACATATGGAAAACCTTACTTAAACAAATTGTAATGTTACAATAAATTTCTTTACTATTTTTTGAATAAGACAAAATTGAAAAGTGTTGCATTAATTATGATTTTATGTACTAGTTTTCAACCTATTTGATATGATTTTTTAGCTAACTTTTTTAGTTTCTTAATTTGATTTGTTAAAAATGTATCATAACTTAATAAAACTTATTTGTAGATCTATAGACGAATCTGACACTTCTCATGATTCCTTTTATGTACAATTACATTCGATTCTTTATCATCGCATATGTTGCTGTTTCTATGTCTTTTAACGTGTATAAGAAAATTTTCTCTTTTTCCCGATACTTTTGGCTTCATTTGTCCCCTCCACTCTGCATTAATCCTATCATTTAGTGGGCGCACTTACGAAAAGAAGTAAAAGTACTAGTATTAATTGGTATATTAACAAGTATAATAAGTATATTAGAAGCTAAATCGAATATAATGGTTATAAATGTTTTTTCCCAATATAAATGTTTACTTAACGTCCATGTTCCATGTACAATGTTTGTCATTAAAATAAAATTACTACATCTTTTCGTACTTCTTTATGTCTACTTCATTTTCCCTTTTGTGTGCAATAACGTATGACTAGGTAAGTACTGCCTATGTGATTGTTCATACTTCATACGCAATTTAAAGTGTCTCAAAAAAATTTCTCTTTATCGAGTTACTTTTGACTATATTTGCCCCCACCTCGTTTATATTTCTTTCTTTTCTTTTAGTGGGCGGAATTAAGTTAAGGTATATAATAATAATTGATATTGAGTGTGTGTTAGAATATAGGGGTAGGAAGAGAGTTTGGTAATCAAGCATATGGATAATGGATATCTCACGGTTGGTGTATGTTTAGTTTACATATTGATATTATTCTCTATGTTAGATTCTAATGTGGGATAATCCGTGAAGGTCAATCAAAGTTTTAGGCACAAAACAATAATATACATATAGAGAGTGTATGTATTGTTAGATTTTGTTAGAGAGTTCTGAATAAGTGGAATACGAGTGTATGATCTCAGAAGGGGGTAAAGCCTGCTTGATCTCTAGAGCCGGTCCAACCGTATATGAGTCTCGAGGCGAAAAGAAAAAAAAAATAGTCCCTTAAAGACACATAATAAAGACTAAAAAAAATATCATTTATTCTTCATTATAAACACGTTCAATTAGCAATAATAAGAAAGTCAAATTGTTTATTTTTTGAGTTGGTTTGATTTTGAACCAACTTTATTTCCTAAAAATTATGTTTGTAATAATTGTTTTATATATATACACTACATAGCCTATAAATTATAGGCCCCTAGAGTCGTGGGCCCTGGGCAGTCGCCCGGGTTGCCCACCGTCTAAACCGGCCCTGTTGATCCCATTTCATCATGTGGGAGATCAAAATTGTCTTATATACAAGTTTGCATTTAGAGCTGACAATAGGTTGATCTGGATTGAGTTCGGGTTCAACCTATTTATCAATTGGGTTGAAGATATCAACTCAACGCAACCTGTTTATTTAAATAGATTGATATTTTTAACCCAACCCAACCTTTTAGATAAATGGATTGTCATTGGGTTGACTTGTTTATGTAGTTTTTAACCCAACATATTAAATAAATAGGGTAAACGTAGGTTAACCCATTTAAAATATAAATATAAATACATTAACTAAAAATTACACCATTTAAATTAGTT